CTCTAAGCAAATGTTTTAGGTATGGGTCTCATTTGCCTTACCAGACAATCTTATCCATAGGCAGAGATCTTGATATTCCTCCAGTCCTCACACATCTTTTGTCCACCACCCCTCTGGCTCCTATACACATCTCCTCTTTAAGATACTCACTGCAGGTCTAAATCTGGGCGGAGGTGTTCGGTCCTTCCGGGCTTCGCGAGAACGGTTCCTGACTACCTTGCTGTGAATGGCACAACTCACGCAGTAATGTAGTTTCACATACAGCTTAGGAAGCACATAGGCTAAGAAACAGGAAATTACAGGTATAATATTAGGAATTAGACACCCACCTTGCACGTTCCTTCTTGTTCATTCAGTCTAAAGCAAACCCATTCATGGGGTTGCATACGTAGCAGAGCAGCTCCCTTGCTGTCAGCTATTGAAAATCAGCCCTCGACACAAGAGTTGAAAAAAAAAAAAGCAAACCCACTTAAACGTCTGTTAGGCACGTCTAACACTCCTTAATAGTTCCGCCCCACTTTTAAGACATCAACTTAAGCCATTTGCCAGAAAGAATTAACCTAACATTAGCCAAGTGCCTTAACCCACTTCCCTTCAATTGTTTGGTTTCTGATGCCTAAACACATACAGAATTTCACAAATGAATATCCCCTTACCAACCCATCCTGTCACCATGGGGACCGAATCCACCCCTTAGATGTAATACCACCAAGAATCTAGTTCCTTCGGCAACTGCATCAGCCCTAATGCCTACTCCTGGACCCCTTCTTGTTGTCCAAGAAATGTTAATTTGTCTCAAGAAAAAGAAAGGAGCAAAACGACGTCACATTGTTCCAAAGATCACCCTAGTCGACCAAACTAGACAGCTTTCATTCTTAAGTCTTCAAGAGACTTAACCTACACTTTTCTACGAGTACTCAAGTCTTCAACAATCCAAGATTACGTTTAACGACGGTTACAGCTAGTACTCCCCAAGTTTCGACAGAGTATCTTTTGTAAGTGCTTTTGGGATCTCACCCCCTACACAAGTAGTCACAAAATTGCTTAAAGACTGCGCACTACGACGAAGAGTCTTCCTCTGTCCAGGCAAAGCTCAAAACGCAAAACAGAGAATTCTAAGATTTCACTCTCTTCTGCGAACCACCACCTCAAAGGTGCAAGGAAATTGCCAGGCACGCGCCAATGAACCGGGCCTGCGGATGCGGGGTGCGAGCGGATATTTTAGGTATTAGGATACTTGCACAGTTCGCGCCGAGCGCTCACTCACCGTCGAAAACGCTTGCTTCGGAAATATCCCTGACGGCTGCGGCTTCTACTATGTTTCGAATAACGAACTTCTTAATGGCCTTGTCCTTGGGCACGCATCTGGCACAGTTGGTGCAGCGAATAGGCTGCACGTGGCCGCGGCCCTTTTTGGCGCGACCATTGTTCCTTCTTTTCTTGGTCTGTATCGGGATGAAGATCCCATTAGGAAGAAAATGCAACTCACCCAGCTTTAGCCCCCTTCCGGCTACTTTCAAGGCCGGCAACCCCCAGAAAAGCGCCAGTCAGATCTCCAATCCCTCCAAGTCCAAAAGAAACATACGCTCTGGCCTATTCCTCCACCGTGGTCCAGTCTTCTAAAACCCAATCCCAGAGTCTGCACACCTCGCCCGCCACCCAATCCCGCACGTTCCCCACGCGCCACAACTCACCATCTTCGAAGCGAGGACGCGAGAGAGGATCCGGCTTTCTCTCCGGCTCTCTTATATAGAGCGAGATCCCTACGCTTTGGCTGGGAGAGTTTTCCTAGACGTCCCCTATGCGCAAGCCAAGAATGGCAAGCCACTTTATTCAAACTTTCTTTATTATTCAGCCTTTCCGCTGAAGTACAGGGTAGAAAGGTGTTTCTCGAATTTACTTTTCCGTGATACAAAGTGATAATGGGACTATTTAACCAACTGGCGGAAGAAAATTAGAGTTATGCGTTTCCCGTCAAGCCGTGCGACGCCCACCCCGGAAGTAATTCTGGGCGTTTATACTTCTTAGTTTTTTGCGACGCTAGGAACGGAAGTTGCCCGGCGCAGGACCATGAGTCATACTCCCTATTAGAAGACAGAGGGGAAGAGATGCATTGTGGGCATTGTAGTGCGAGGTTGGCAGGCCCCGGGCCCCAGGTACTTACATCAAAGGCGGCACTACGCCACTGGGGGACGCTCTCGGCTCATTTCTCTGACAGTCTCGCTACTTGGTGTAATACTGGGAAAGGGAGGACCTGGGGGAAGACAAAACATCTTGTTAATTCCCCCTTCCAGTACAGGGAAGACTCTACAATGAGGGGCCATGGATAAGTGCATTGGTGCGAGGGCCGTTTCTCATTCACCTTTTTATTCCGGGATCCTGTTACCACAGTACCAGGCACTGTAGTAAATGCTGTAAAAATATTAACTCATTAAGTCCGCAACAAGCTTATAAGGTAGGAAGTATTATTTTTAAATTTTATTTGTGTATTTAATAGAGATATTGGGGATTGAACCCAGGACCTTGTGCACGCTAAGCATGCGCTCTACCATTGAGCTATATACCCCCACCCCACAACAAAGTAGGAACTATCCTCACTTTACAGATTGAAAAACTGAGGTATGAGAGGTTAAAACTGAGGTTGCCCAAAGTCACACAGAGCTAGATATGTGGTGTTCTGACTTCACTATACTCTGATGCCTCTTACCTAACAAACAAATGGATGGAGGTATAGTCTGGACCAGTGACTTGAACTATTTTGATTTTGATCCCTCGTGGAAATATATTTCACACTGGTACTCAGCACATACACAGATACAAACACACACACACATGCAACACTGAAACACAATGAAGCAATGCCCTTAAGGACATAAGGTGCACTGGTATGTTCCACTTTCTATTATTTTCTATTCTATTTTAATAAATGCTGATCAAGCCCCACTAAAGTGATTTCACTACTCATTGATATATCTCGCCCCCTAATGAAACATGCTTTCTTATGTATAAGCTCATTTACCTCTAAAGAGCCTTCAGAAAGTCTTTAGCCTTAAACAGAAGTGTTATATATGGGCAGCCAACCACTCACTTGTCTCCAAAGTTGAAGAAACTTGTGTGTCAAGGAGACCTCCCAGCATTAGATCCAAGACAGTACAGATGGAGACCAACAATTCATTCATGAATTATTCTGAAATCTGAATACAGCAGATTCACTTTCCTTCCAACAACTTATTATGGTTTCTTAACCTTTAACCCACTTTATTGGGGTTTTAATTTATTTTCTAACTTTTGTTTTGGCTTTAAAACAGCTATATTCATGGTCTCTTTTGAGTTTCAATTTGTTAGTTTCAATGGGGCATGGAAAATGATAGACTCTGGATGGAAGTGTCTCCAATTTTCACTTCAATATAGTCTCCTGGGAAAACGAGGCAGACAATATTGTGTGGAATGGCAATGTGGTAGATAGGAGAGAACAGAAAAATTCAGTGAAGGGGACAGAAAATAGTTAATATTGAAGACAGAACATGTACTTCAATAACAAAATCAATAAAATAAAATAAAAAAAAAGACAGAACCAAGTTAATGTTCCTGTGCTGGCTTTTCTTTGGATTTTCATAGCCTGAGGGTTTCACTGGCTGCATAACTGGGCATTAAGGGATGGACATAGACTTTGGAATAACATACTGTTCTGTTCAAATCTGGGTTCTGTCATTTACTGGTTGATAAGTCTTGGACAAGTTATTTTTTCTCTCTTGGGCTTTTATTTCTTCACTAGTAATGGTGATCATTCTTTTGGAGGTTGTCTGTACAATTAAATGAATACCTGGCACAGGGCTTGACATTTATGAAATGCTCAAGAAATGGTAGACCCTATTATCATCATCATTCATGCTGTTGTATCTTGTATTTCCCTGGGCATATAGTGTGTTTTGCACACAAGATGTACTGAACAACTATTTGACGAATCTTTGCTTTGGATGGATAGGCAGGCTAGGCTTTCTCTCCTATCCTGAAGGCACTCCTGATGGGAAAATCTCCTCTACTTCCCATTCTGGGTTGAAAATTCATCTGTTCTTCTGTAGCAACAACTTGAGAATTTTTGTTTGGTTTCCTCTCAGTTTTAGGCTTGTTCACCTTCAAAATATTTAGTAGTTGGCACAATATGATGCAAGGAGGTTCCCCTCCCTCCCAGCAGAAAAGCAAGGCAAAGGAAGTCTGCAAAAACAACCAGGGGTGTTAAATTACTCATGTTTATTTATAACAGACCTTCAGCCAGTACAGTACAAAACTTACAGTAGTATATCTCCGTTACACAAATATTTACTTACAATATATTACATATACAAAATGCTTTGCAATAAGTCTCAAAAGCTAGTTTAACTCCTCTTGAGAAAGGAGAAAAACTCTTTAAAAAAAAAAAAAAAGAGGAGGAGAGGGGAACCAGAGGAAGAGGTGAAGGGGTAAATCCAAGGAGACACCAAGCATAGGCTACAAATGAAACCCTGGGAGAGAGAAGAGGTGGTATTGCACTTGCTTCTGTGTTTTATTTTTTCTTTTGTTCTTCATAACTTCTGATTAAAAATATATATAATATATATATATATATATATATATTATGTACACAAGGAAAGAAGCTGCCAGAAGTATTACAAAATCCCATCTGCAGCTTGGATACTGACAAGAAAAAACAAAGGTCTGGAAAAGTGTCTATTTAGAAATTTTCTTGTGTGGTGTTGATTTTAAATATCAGTATAAAAGAAAAACACCTCTTTTCTCCATGTGGGTTTCAATGTATTTTTTTTTTTACTTTTTTTTATGCAAAAGGGGCTGGGAGAGAGCATGAGGATGTTTGAGGTTCCAGAGCTGGAAGGCTCTGGAAAGTAGGATTTTGTACCTAAGACCCTGGTTAAAGTGCAGTGATGGTCTGGAGAGAGACAGAGTGCCCTTCTCTCCCCTCCTTAGCACCTGGGCTTGCCCTTCCAGTCTCTGCTCTCATGGGCTCAGAGTATGGCCTCAGAGCATAGTCCTTCATGTTCCAGGAGGTTACAGGTGCCAAAATTGACTGGGGGAGGGGATGGGGCAACCTAAGGCTCTGATGCCCCAGAAGGGAATAGTCCTAATGAGGTGCCACCAAATACACAGCAGACACAGAAGAGGTGGTGGGGGCACGTCAATCGAGAAGGGGCTCAATAACCAGAACAGTTGAGGGGAACCCCAGATATTAATGTCAGCTCTGCTGCCATTCTGAAACAAGGAGCCAGTTCACTGGGGTGCTCTGGAGACTCTCCCCTTCCCCGGAGACCACTCTCCTCCCAGCGGACTCCCCCATCCTCTGCCCTTGGCAGCATCTGTTTATTGCTACATTGTCAAGGAGGAACAACCAACCCACAGTGCCCCTCCCTGGCAATCTGGTTCTCCTGGGGAGACCGCATAATGGGGGAGAAAAGGAGGAAGAAGAGAAGGATTTTAGGGTCTCCTTTCCCAGAAGAGGGTAAGGTAGACTCTCTTAGAGCCCTTAAGAGCCCCAATCCCAGGGTCTATTCCTTAGCCAACCCTTTACCATCCCCCTAAATTATCCCTGATAGGGAGTGAGAAAAGTAGGAGGCAAAAGAGCCAATAAGGAAAGGACATGTGGAAAGAAAGATGGAAGGGAAGAGAGAAGGAGAGAGGGAGAGAGAGAGAGAGAGAGAAGGACCAAGTGTTACAACTTGTGAGGTGTTGTGTTTGGTTTTTACTTTTTTTTTCTTTAAATATAGAAAAACAGGCTTTGGTTTGAATCTCAAGGAAGCAGAGAATGGGATGGCTGTGGCCTTGGGCAGGGAACTCTTGTAGAAAGAGACCTCCACTTGCAATGGAGCTGTATCTCCTCCTGCCCCTTTCTCTAGGTGACCCAAATAGCCAGGGGTCTCTGCAGCAGCCAGGAGAGTGCCCCCCTCCTGCCCTGCGTCTGGGAGCTGAGTGTAGAGGGGGCAGTAAAGGAAAGCCCCCAATTCAGTTGCACCCATCCCATTCTTGCTGGGACAGGAGTGGAATGGGGTGAGGGGCACGTGCCCTTGTTTATCCTGGGACAATTTTTGGTTACACTGAAAATTAGAAGAGAGAAAAGACACATCCTTTTCTCCCTGCCACTGATCCTAAGAAAAGGGCCAGGAGCCCAGGAATGAGAGGGTGAATCCTGCCAGGGGGAGAAGAAGGCAGCATGACTGGGGGGCTGAGGATACTACCCCCTTGTCATCAGGCAGCAACCCACCAGCTTCTCAGAGGACAGGGACACCTGGAGCCCCTGAGAGCCCAGGAAGGTCACTAGAGTGAAGAAAGTTGAGAGGTGGAAGAGAAAGACAAAGATTTTGACCCACCCCCTTCCCTGGTTCCCAGTTAGGCACCTGTGGCTCCCAATGTGTCAGAGACAGGATTGCTGACCTAGCCTTGGCCCCTGAGAATATAAAAGTGGGGCATTCCAAGGAGAGAAAAACCACCAGAGTAGACTGGCAGGCTGAAGAGAGTAGAGCAGTGCTGGGGGTTGTCTGAGGAGAGAAGACAGATCCCGAATACAGGCTTTGGGGAACTCATATTACCAGGGGTCTGTCAACAGGACCCTAGGTCCCACGGTGCCTGGGGAGATTTTCTCCAGCCCCTCCTACTTCCAAGTGAGGGATTTCTTCATTCGTTCAGAAATAGTGCAAGCTGCCTAAAGTGAGAGGGCACGAGAGGTATGAAGTACCAGTTTGAAGGGTCCCAGAGAGGAGATATAATGCCACAGAGCTAAGGTAGGGCCAGAGGGAGCTACCAGCATCAAAACTGAAGAATCGGATAATGTAAAAGGTGAGGACTTAACTCAAGAAGCTCAAGGTCTCTTAGCACTGAGAGGAGCCTCCTACCCCTGGGGCTGCTGGAGGAAGCTGGATCCAAGAGAAAAATGAGGCCTAAAGTGGAAGGGGACGGTGGGCAGGAGGGTTGGGGAGTAGTAAGTGGTAAGTAACCACTATAAGGTTAAAAAAAAAAGCAAGAGAAAAATCAACAAATTATATTAATAAATAACTCAGTGAGATGGTGGGATGAGAGGAGAAGAGAAAAAGTAGAAAAATAAGCAAAAGACCTATTTCATCACAACGCTTAGATCAGTCAGGGAAGAGGAGGAGCGTAGTGGGGAGGGGTCAGGGTCAAGTGTGACGTCCCATAGCCAGTGGTGACGGCTACACAACCAAACAGTTTGGGATGTGGTGGGGACAGGGCTAGACTCCTGCAGCTCGGGCAGTGGAGTGGTGGACTGAGTGGGGTGGGGGCAGTAGGTCGCTAGCCCACCTTGTGCTCCCCCCGGACGATGTGGGAAGAGAATTCGTACCGGTCCTGGCTGTGGTAACCACAGATGTTGCACTCAAAAGGGTCTCTGAAGCCATGGCAGCCCATGTGGATGGTGAACATGACATGGTCCAGGAAGAGGATGCGGCAGTGCTCACATTTGAAGGCCTTCACTGGCTCCCCGCTCTCACCCACCACCCGAAGCACTTCCTTGGAGGGGCCTGGGGTGCCCCGCAGTAACCCCTCCTGTGGCTTGGGGTCCTCTTTGGCGTAGGCGGGACTGGGCCGGCCCACCACAATGGTGGGCGGTGGCTGGGGTGGGGGACCCTGAGGGAGGGATACCACCCCCCCAACCCGATCTTCGTGGTTGCTCTCTGTATCTGTGGAGTCCTGGCAGCCATTGCTGGGGGATGCCCCCGGGTCAGTCAGGGGGCCTCGGGCCCGGTAGAGGAGGGGACCCCCATCAGCCAGGTCCTCGGGTCCCTCACCTGCTTCTCGGGACCCTGGAAGCTCCAGTCGACTGGGGAGGGGCTGCATCTGAGTGTAGACAGAGCTGATGACAGGCGTGAGTTCCGAGATACAATTGGTAGGTGGAAGGCGGAGGGGACGCAGATGCTCTGCTCCTACAAAGGCCAGAGAACCTCCAAAGCCAGGCTCCAGGCCGTGGTGTGCCACCAACTCCACATCCTTCTCATAGCCGCCCGAGTTCACATCATAGGGGAGGTCCGAGAGGCTGAATCGCATCTGCTTTTCGCCTGCGGAGAGGAGGGTCTCAGCAGAGCTGGGTTTGGATCATTCCTAAACCCCTCAGGATTACTTCTTTGTTTGGTTCTTGCCCCTGGGGATGACTGTGACTTTATTTACCACGCCTCATTTACTTCCCTTGAGGTCAAGTCCTCTGTGGGGCTGCTCCCCGACCCTGGGCAATAATCTTAGAGGACTCAGTCCCAGCTCATCAATCTTAATTCCCCCTTCATTACTCTCTACAAAGCTCCAGGTCCTTAGGGAGCTAACGACAAGGGCGAGGCCAGGCGACCCCACATGCACCTTCTGTCTCCGACTCTAAGGGCCCTTCTCTTGGCCCCCACAGACTAAAGTCTTTACTAGTCTCCAAAACTGGAAGAGCTGAGTCCCCGCACCCCTGCCTCAACACTGACCCTCTCCCACCCTCCTGAGGTACATTTTCCCTCTTTGCTCCCCTTCTGTTCTGGGGATGGATTCTGAGCACGGGAGACCACCAGACTGCTTTCTTTCCCTCAAGCAAATCTCCAGATCCGGTTGGTCTAATGGCCACAGGAGCTCAGATTTAGGTGAGCTGTGGCTTAAAGCTGACGTCTCCTTCCAACTGGACTCTTACCTACGAACTTCTGAGGGGTGGAACGCTTGCGTTTCGTGAGGCTGTTGGCCAGACGATCAATGAAAGTTGGCCTCTCAGAGGATGAGTGCAGCATGGAGTCTGGCACCATCTCCAGGTCCCGTATCTCATCACCTAGTGGGAGGGAGGTGGGAACAGGCAGTAGCGGCTGAGTAGGGGCAGCACGGGCCCAGCAGCCTCTGCCTTGGGAAAACCAGCAGCTCAGGAGCTGAGGGAGGTCACATCCAGTGACTGGGAAATGCGGCTCTCCTTACTTCACCCCATCTAGACCTCACCGCAGCGCGTTTCAGGTAACTGGAGACAATCACGTACATCTGACCTTGATTTTATGCTTATGTTTTCTCTCTCCCTTTAGACTGAGGACATAGAGCAAATCCACCTCTACCTCTGACCATCCCTCAGCACCCACCACAGGGCTCTTCACCCCCTGGGGCGCTCAGCACCATTACTGAAGTGACAGTCCCCTGTTCCACAGACCTCAGTCGCTGTTGGGGTTGGTGCTGGGCTCGCCCGTGTCCCGCACTCCCTCCGGCCTGGCCCTCCACTGCCCTGTGGTCCTCCCGCAGCCTCACCTGATTGGCCGGCCAGCGCTTGGGCTTCAGTGCTGAGACTCTGCAGGTAGTTGTGGCACCGCTCCTTGTGCTCCTCCAGGGTGCTCTGCTGTTTGTAGCTCCGGCCGCAGTAGTTACACTTGTAGGGCTTGCCCACCGTGGGAGAGGAGACTGGGGGAGACAGGAGAGAAAGAGCATCAGAGGTACTTCCCCCTGAGCCCTGGCTCGACACAATCACCCAGGAGCAAGTGGACATGGGCATGACGAAGGGATGCTGCTCAGCTGAGTTCTTCTGCTTGTCTTTCTTTCTCCAGCTTCGGCCGCAGGCATGGATAGGTGACCAACCCTTGGAGAAGAGGGACAACATGTAGCTATGGGAGGAGAGGGGGACCCAGGGACAGTTGGTGGGCCTCAAGATGGCCATGTTGCTGCTGAGAGGAAGGGAGGACCCAGGGACTTTGTAGGGGATCATCCCTGGCAGGCAGGCTGGCCCCACCCCAGGATCTCAGAGTCTGGGGCCCAGACTGTGGTTTAACCTTTCCACGTGGCAGGCGGGTGTAAGTGCTGTTTATCAGACAAGGGGATTTTTTTGCTTACGAACTATCTGCTTCAGTTTGGGGGAAATTGGTGGGCTGGGGTGACAGAAACAAGAGCCCTTAGACCTGCCAATGTGGGGAAGGGCAGTTTTCACTGACCTTTACTTGTACTTTTACCCGCCTCCCCGACCTGGTTGTACTGCTCATTTTTCTTTCTGTCTCTCTATACTGAGATACCAAGAGAGTCCTAGAAAACTCACCACTGAGAGAAATTCTAAGAAGAAAAACAAAAAAGAATAAAATAACAATAGGAAAGTTAAGGAGAAAAGTAAAAGGAAGAGAACACCAACTTTGGGGTCTTTTTTTTTTTTTTAAATAAGGAAAAGGTTATAAAGATTTTGGCCAGAAACAGATTGAAAAATAACATATGATATCACTTATATGTGGAATCTGAAAAAAAAAAAAGACAAACGAACTTATTTATAAAACGGAAACAGACTCACAGACACAGAAAACAAACTTACGGTTACCAGTGGGGGAAGAGGGTGGGAAGGGATAAATTGGGAGTTCGAGATTTGTAGATACACACTACTATATATAAAATAGATAAACAAGTTCATACTGTATAACACAGGGAACTATATTCAATATCTTGTAGTAACTTATAGTGAAAAAGAATTTGAAAACGAGTATATGTATGTTCATGTATGACTGAAGCATTATGCTATATACTAGAAGTTGACACAACACTGTAAACTGATTATACTCCAATAAAAAATATATATATATACACAAAGAAAAAAAGAAATGAAGTAGAAATTATGTATTAAAACTTTTTTTTTGTTTCCACTGAAAAAAAGAAAGGTTAGGAAAACCGAGATCAATACTTCCTTTAAAGACAACTTGAGACGTATTTGTGAGAGGAGAGAAACAAGGTATTGTATATTTAACATTTCTTGGTACTATTGAGCAGGAAGACAGGAGAAAGTATCTCCAGGAGGCTGGTAATTACTACCCCCCGTCACCTCCCACCACAACACCTAAACTGGGCCTTGACTCAATCAATCTGCCATTTCGCTCTTACTCCGTAAACATGAGTGTTTAGGGGATGAGATGAATATCATGGTCCCCACCCTCCCAAGCCTCTTGGGGAAATAGGTTTAATTTAATTAATAAAGCAAAAAAAACCTCTGATGTCTAGGGGAGGAACTTCTTTTTCCTTACAGTGTGGACTGTGATAGAAAACATCTCACAGCGATGGGACCCAACAGTGTATCTGTGCTCGCTTCTGCCCCTAATAATCTTGTACAGAACAACATCTAATATCCGCCCAGCTGGCCTCATTGTTGTTGGTAGGAATTCTCGGGGCCAAGCCACCCTTGTTCCAAACCAGCAGGGGGAGCCGCCCCTTTTCTGAGGAGAAGGAGCATGACACCGTGGCACCTGACATTAGTGGGAGTCCAGTGAGGCTGTGGAATAGTTCTGTGATAACAACATTACCTTGGAATTGTTATAAGGATCACCTGAGGGAGGAGACATGCGTGAAATGCTTTGTAGGTTATAAGGCATGAATCAATAATGATCGTTCTCCACGTACACAGAGATAAAGGGGTCCCAGCCCCAAAGTGACAGAATCTAGAACAAGGTAGGTGGCTGGGCAAAGTAGAAGGTGGGGAGGTGATTGCTCTGTCCCTTTAAATCCTGGCCCAGGAGAGTTTAAGCAAAGAGAAAAACAGCAAAGACAGTTTCCAAGGACAGACCCTACTAATTCTTTCCCCTCTGCCCTTCTTCCGGCCTTTTCCCAATCTTGAGCTCCCTCCTTCCTGCCAGCTCAGCTCCTGGCCTCTTCTCAAGTCTAAGCCGAAAGCGTAAGACTTAGCTTCAAAAGTGCTATCTGTCCAGCTGATTCAGAAAGATGTTGACTCAAGCCGCCTTGGCTGGGGCTAGGAAACCTGGTTAGTCCAGTTCCCTGGCACTGTCCCAAACGCTGACCTCAGGCACCCTCTGGATTTGCTCTTGCCTCTGAGGTGACAACCTCTTGGGATGGGAAACAGAAATGGGATACAGTTTTCCTAGGCCTCCCTTCTTCCAGTTTGGGAGGCTCATGGATATTTACAAGAATCAGCAGGAAATAAAGAGGAGGACTTACAGAGGTTGCCCGTGACCTGTGGTGCTGTGGGGGGAGGTGAAGATGGTGACAGGTGTGGGGCCTGGAGCACATGGGAGTGGAAGGAGGGGTTCCCCTGGCGCTCAGAGGTGGGGGGTGATGGGGCCCAGATGGTTCTGACATCAGCATGAACTTTAAAAACAAAGTCAGGGAGGGTGGCTGTTGAGAGCCAAGAGCAGCGCCTGTGCTCCTTTTGGTCCATGTCACGGAACGTGGCAGATGTAAAATACCCCATCAAAGAGTCCCCTAAATTCCCCATGGGGCCCTGCTACCCCGCTCTGTGAGTGCTCCCCCCTCCTCAGCGACAGACATGGTAACTCCCCAAACACAGGAGAGGTCGCCGAGCTCTATCCACTGGGTGGACTGGACAGGCCACTGACCTGAGTGTGTGCGGAGGTGGCCAGTGAGCGCATCACGCCGACGGCAGGCATAGTTGCAGAAGGGACACTTGAAGGGCTTCTCCCCGGAGTGCAGCTTGATGTGGCGCAGCAGGTTGCCCTTCTGGGTGAAGGAGGCACCGCACTGGTTGCAGTGGAAGGGCCTTTCCCCTGCGAGTGTAAGAACAGATCCCAGAGAACCGGCTGTGAGCAACTCTGAAGGCTGAACCTAGTCCTTCACCCTCCGCTCCACCCTGCCTGGGGGCAGGAGGGTATTCAGGAGGTGGGAACAGTCTGACCCCTGGAAGGTGTGGACTAGAGGTGTGTGGCAGGGAGCAGGACACCAGGCCTGGAACACTGGGCCAAAGACTGTCATCAAAAACTGAGGCCCATGGGGCTCACTCTGCCCCCAGACCCAGAGCAGCCAAGAAGCAGCTTCTGTTTCCGTTTTTTGTTTTTTGTTTTTTTAAATCACGAGACAGGAGGGCTCAAACACTACCCAGGACCCTCTTGGGTCCTGGCTACACACCTTCCTCTCTATCACCTCCTGAGACAAATATCAGCTTTTCTTTGTAACAATGGCAGAGGGAAATGCTGGGAAGTACAGGTGTTGAGGGAGCCCAAATTCCATCCCCCCTCCTTTTTCCTTCAGCTAGAAACTGCGAGGAGAGACCCTTCCCCTTCTGAGGCTGCCCCACCGCAGCACGGCCTCCCAGCACTGCCTCTGCCTCGCCAGCCCACCCGGAGTGCCTCCCGGAGCCTGGTGGACTCACCCGTGTGGCTGCGCTTGTGCACCATGAGCACGTTGGGGCCGATGCAGACCATGCCGCAGACGTCACATTTGAGCTTGCCATTGGGCAGCCGGATGCCACCAGGGGAGTGAGGCTCTGGCCCGCTTCCATCACAGTAGCCCAGCGGCTCCGACAATGAGTCTTCCACGATCACACTGTCATCCTTTTCCAAGAGCCGCTCATCCGGCCCCAGCAGTCTGCTCGACTCCTCATCGCTGTACATCTCCACCTTGATGGAGTTGGCTGGAGGGTGGGATGGTGTTTAGGAGAGGGATAGACATAGGGGGCAGCTTGCCCATGGGCCAGCATGGCACTCCTGAAGTCCAAAACTCTATCTCCAAGCCCTGAGACGTTCAGGCTTTGGAAGAGGCCAACACCCTAAGTATCCCAGGTGGTGACCTCTGGGTCCTGCTGGGACCTGAAACAACCTTTTCCTCCTGTCCCACCAACCAGGCAGATAGACTTCAAGAGAAAAAAGCCTGGGGTACATGGATGTCTTCAGCCACTGGGGAGAGGAGGAGAATAAGGGGAGCCTTTTTCTCCCCTCTCTTGTCATTAAGAAAGATGTCTGGCTTGGCCCTGGGCAGGAAGCCAGCAAGTAACAGTGGTGGGAAAATGGTCCTAGGAAGACCGCAGATGGCGGGCTAAAAAGACAGCAAAACTGGAAGACGGACGTGGCTCACGTTATCTCCCCCATAGGACTGAACATCTCTACTCTCCTCCGTAAAAATCTGGAGAGGGGGATGGAGGAGGGAGGAGCCATTGAGGAGAAAGCTTTGGCTCTAGCTCTGACCTACATTCCTGGCTATTCCAACCATTTAGAGAATGTCACAGATCCAGGGCCAGCTGAGGAGGGGCAGTCATGGGGACCCTGTCTGGGCAGGAGACTGGGGGGCACTGATGAGAACCTTCTCATCTCTATTTCCTACCTACCTCCAGCTCACGGCCATTTCTATCTACTCATTTGTCCAGCTCCAGAATTTCTCTTTGGAGCCTTTACCGTAATTCCACCCATGCATATTTTAATCCCCCCCTGGTCACTAGGCAGTGACCGTTCACCCTCCTCTCAGAAGTCGGGGGAACCCTAGACACTGAGCTCCTCAGTGCTGTTAGAGACTCTGAGCCGGAACCCAGAAGGAGGCAGTGCTGGGGAAACAAATGGCTGCTATGGAAGGCGAACGGAGGGCCAGACACAGACGGGGCGCCTGGAGCCAAAGAAGGGCAGGAGCTGCACTTACCACTGAGTGAGCGGCTGGGAGAAGAGTGCTGGCTGTTGGGGGTGCTCACTGAGGGCCCCACTGGGGCCCCGAGGAACTCCTTCTCCAGAGATGAGTCCCCGCTACCTTGGAGGAGAGAACAAGAGCAAGGGTGAAGCTGCAGCTGGAGCCATTTACTGTCCCTCGCCTAATCTTTTCAAAATTCAGCTAAGTTTCATGAACATTGATCTCATAGCCTAGTACAAGGCAGTGTTGTATGCTGGGCACTGTACCTTGTGCCCTCGCCAGCCTGGGTGCCCGGCGCTGACTTCCGCGAACTCAGTGGCCGCGCCTTGCCCACCCTACCTTTATCTAGGCCTGAGGGGAAGAGCATCACTGCCTGACGTCCACAGGAAGCAGGGCTGGGGCTAGGCGGGCCGGGGTGGAGAGGAAAATGGGGGCCTCAGGAGGGAGGTGGTTCAGGACAGCCGTTCCTCCCTACTCTTCCTCTCCGGAGCCCCCAACACCAGGTTCGGGATCGGCAGGAAGGGCAGCTGGAATTGCCCCTGAATCTAATGATAGTAATAGTAATCATAATGACAGCAGCTAACATTAACTGAGTGCTTACTACATGTGAAGCATCATTCTATGCACTTTAAATGAATTATCTCATTTAATCTTCACAAGAACTTTGTGAAGTAGGTGCCAATATTATCTTAATTTTGCATATGAGGAAACTGAGGCACAAAAAAGTTATGTTACTTGTCTAAAGTCACACAGCTACTAGTGGTAGAACCTGGATCTGATCAACAAACAGTAAGTACCCATGTCCTTAACATCACCTGTACAGCCAATTGGGAGTCACTGTTTCAGGAGGGGAGAGGTGGGCCCATTCGACTCTCTAAAATCAGCAAAAATGTGGCTACTCTAAAAAGCCTCCTATCTGATATGACTCCAATCACATATTTACTACTTGATGTTCCCTTGACAGTGAAATCATCAGTTAATTCTCCACATATTCATTTTAACTTGTTGACAAATTGCTTCGTAAAAAATGCTTTTTTAAGAGTGTCATATATGTTTTAAAAAATCAGATAACATACCTGAAGATATGAATCACGTCTTTAAAAAAATTTCCCTCCTCCCCACAATCTTCTGCACAAATATACGGGTGAAATAAAACACGTGTGGACAAACACAGACACAGACACATATCACATATGTAGATACACATAGAGAGAACATACCTGCAGGATAAACATGGCCATAGCCGTCTACGTTATCTGCTAACATGAACATGCATAGACGTGTGCACACAGGCCTAATATGGAAGATGCTGAGAGAGACAAACCCTCAAATTCATCCCTGAAGTCCACCTATTAGTACTTTACCCAATTTCCCGGCTATGCACATACTTACTTTCACAAAATAAAGATTCCATTATAAAATGGTTGGAGTCTTGGGCCTGAGGCAAGAAATCCGGAACACACCCTCCTGAGGGATCCCTCTCCAGCTTTGGTCAGTGGGAAGAAAACAACCACTCAGGACTTTGGGACCATTTCCCATTCATATCCTCTCCTAAAAGTCCCATTTCTCCCATTCTATCCCGTCAAAGCCTGAGGAAATTTGTTCACTATCTATAGAAAAAACCTTATGGCTTGAAACTGAGGTTCCCCAGCTGGGGCTCTTTAGATGAGCCATGGTTATCTAAAAAAAGTTGACCCAAATCAGGACCACACACATATCATGCAGTGAACATCTCAGAGTTGAGGGTTGAGACCTGTGGACCCAGACACAGTTTTAAATGAGTCCTTTCAACTAAGAGTAGCGTTTACTAAGGTTAGAAGGGCTGAAAGGGTATCTTCTTATTCCTTTTCAAACCTTGGTGCTGACTTGCCCTAAATCATTGGATGCTAGTAATGGGGGAAGAACAGGGCTCGGGGCCCTGGCACTGAGTCCTTGACCCTAAAAGGATGAGTGAGCTTGCTGGAAATCCTTCGCTGGTCCCAGCCTACTAGGCTGAGGCTGCCTCTTGGGGCCTGGGGCTTGGTATATGGAGAAAATATCCTTAAAGGGATATTTAGGGACATTAAGGGGAAAACATCCTTTGTGGCTCTCCCTATTAAGGCCTGGGAACAGGAGGAAGAGCAGGTACCTCCAGAGTCACACCAGTAGTTCAAGGGGCTCTTTGATGCCGTTGCCGTTCCTAGGATAAAGGTAAGAGGCACAACAGGCTCAAGTCTACTTTTATGGGGCTGATACAGAAAAATGAATCAGTTTCAGGGGTCAGAAAGCCTTTTTGGGCTCCAGGGATTTTGAGTTCTAGCCAGACGGTGAAAAGAACTTGAGTCAGATTTAGGAAGTTCAGCAGTTCCTCTCTCAGCCCCAGAAACCCCAGTGAGGGAATTTCAAATGCCTGGGACTCCCAAGAAATCCCAGACTGTCAAAGCCAAGAATTAGGGCCGCTCTCAGGTCTCAGAGAAATTTTCTTGGTCAAAGTCATCGTAGATTGGCTGAACCCCTGGAGGGCAAAGCCAAATCATGAGGTTCACATCAGAGAAACCAGGAGGTGGGTAAAGGGCAGAAAAGCAGGAGGGAGAGAAAGGAACCAGGGCAATGTCCCACATGCTAAATGTGTTTCCCATGTTGAGGGAGCCGAGCCCTCGCTCCAGCTGCCCTTCCTCCATCCCTTCAAAGAGTGGCCACCTCTAGGGAAGAGCCATGAGGTCCAGAGCCTTCACACTTCTCTGCCAGGGACCTCATCCTAACTGCTTCCCCTTTCTTGACCATGGACTCCGGGGGGCAGAATGCTAGCCTGCTAGCAGGGAAGAGTGGGGTACAGGAGCAAAGAAAGACGCCCATCCCCAGCTCTATTGTGGGGAGGAGGCTGAGGCCCCTCAGATCTCTGTTTCAGGTTGAGGCATCTGCTGCCGGGGCTCCTCTTTACCTAGATTCTCTCTATTACCCATTCCCACCCCAGCCTGTCTCGGCATTTCACCCCAGGCAGCGCTACATCTGTCCCCAAGGCCTAATCAAGATGTCACCACAAGCTCCCACTGTCCAAGTCGCAGTCTTTGCTTAGCAACACCAAACACCCTTTCCCATCCTCCGCAAGTATGAGGAGGAACGCCCCCTCCCCCGCCACACACACAGCCCCCATCCTCTCCCTCTCCTCAGGCTTGGGAGTTGTTACTGAATTGGCTCCCTAGCCCCAGCACCCCCCTCCCCCCTCCACTAGCCACCTTCTGCCTGAACTTACATTATCCTTCCCTTGCCGGTGAGACCCTGGGGTGCGAACGCGGCCGCCGCCTTGGAAACGGCGAGGGAGCGCGGGCGGTGTGTGCATGTCTGCGTCTCGGTGGCAGGCAGGGGTGAGCCCAGCCACTCACCTTCCAGGAAGCGTGGATTCCTGGAAGTGAGGGGAACCGCCGTCATTTCGCAGGCAGCGGCAGCGGCACGGTGAGCAGGGGCCCACGGCTGCAGCCAGCAAGAAGAGCTCAGCCCAGGGTGTATGTGTGTGTGAGTGAGTGAGTGTGTGTGTGTGTGTGTGTGTGTGTGAGAGAGAGAGAGAGAGAGAGAGAGAGAGAGAGAGAGAGAGAGAGAGAGAGAGAGAGAGAGAGAGAGAGAGAGAG